CCCGTGATGCCCCTTCTCCTGGTTGCGCTTACCCTTCGTCTTCTCCATCCTCTCCATCGCGATACTTATACGGCATACAGAGACACGTACCTACAGTCTTTTCTCCCTTTTCGGATTTCTTTCTCACGACTTAGAAAAATCGACAATTTCAAATACTTTATTCTTGCCAGAAAAAGAAATATTAACTCACATATCATTCAAAATGTAACTTACATTCGTAAGATGTTCACCATACTTGCTTGATCGTCTTACCAATAACTAAGTCTCATTTTTCATTCTTATCAGCAATCTCTGAGGCAAGATAAGTACGATGAATTTACCAGCTTATTTTTTGCGTACGGAAGGATTTTCTCTTTACGTAGCATTACTCTTTTTTTTTATGAAAGAAATATACTACGCATAAGAGGGGATAAAAATATGATTGTAATAAAATTCTACCTGTTATTAAGCACATTGCCAAGACCCAAAGAAAACTCTGAGCATTCCATACAATGACCGGATTTTCTACATTGACCGTAACATACCTACATACATATATCGCGCAACATTCCGACTGAATATGCACCCTCCGGACGACGATTGGTCAATTTGACAGAGCAACGTAAAACAGGAAGAGGGTTAGATCGGGATTCGAGGGAGGGGGAGCAGATAGAGATATTTCGAATGATAACAATTTTCGTTTGATGCAAAGAACTTATGAATACATTGAAAAGGCCATCGATATACGATTCTTCTATTTTTAGGCGAATAAAAATGACGTAAGAGGGATGGAAAATGTTTGAAATGCAAGTTAGAGGATACCATATGGGCAAAATTCCAAAAGGGGCGGTCTATTTTCCTCGAAAACGTTTCCTACGAAAAATCTATAATCTTCCATTATCGCAATAACGAGGGAGTATATGTAATTATGATTGCAATTCGGAATAATGATTGACTTTTATTTTCCATTCCTAATGGTTCCTATTTTTTTTTTCTAAATAAAAATAGACATTTATCGTAAATTCTTCGATTAATAATTAACGATAAATCTTTTGATTGAAAATTCAACGAGTAACGTTCGAAATGTTGCTTCGTTTGTTTAAACAATTTTCAAAGTCGTAGAATCGCGAACAGAAGATATTTGGTATTCGTCGTGCGTCCGTATTTTTCCCTCTCTTTCTCTCTTACGTATCCAGCAATATTATTCGGTCCACTTGTTAGCACCCCTCGGATAAAGGGGCCCCGTGTTACCCCGTATCCACCCCCATTCCTAATCCTGTTATCGTCTACAATGCTTCCATGTACCTACCTACCTAACAACCCTAACCTAACCAACCTAGTACTCCCTTTTTTCTTCACACTGTGTGACAACAAACAATACCTTTAAAAGCACTCTATCCAAAAGAAATAAGAAGAATCTCGACTCGCGTGAGACATAGTTATTCTATTGATCAGTGAAGACAACAAAAAATCATTTGACGATAACGTTATCGGATGTTCAAATTAAAATTCTTATTATTCGAACAGAATATTTCAATTATTAACGAGCATAATATTCCTATATTAGTTATCAAACCAGCCGCGAAAAAAGATCAGTAAAAAATGTGCAAATTGAAATTTAACCGAAAGAGTTAATAACGAGGTCTAGAACGATCGGTAAATACAAAGAGATAGGAGATAGAGTGAGATCAAAGGCGGACAGAGCTTGATCGTCGGCATTGCGAAATGCTGTCGATTCGAAATTGCATGCAAATCACAAGGAGGAAAGAAAGGAGTTTATTTCTTCCTTTATTTCCATGAGATCCCTTCGTTTCCGATCGTTTCCTTCCTTCCTTCCTTCCTTCCTGCCAAACCAACCTCGCAACCGCAAATTAGCCGCACGTACAACGGCTAAAAGAAATTTAAAAGAGGAACTCCTATCTTCGTCCATTGGCCCGATCCCCAGTCAGAGGCTTGCTTTTTTTCCTTTTTACATTTTTTTTTTCTTTCAACGTCAATGAAGTATCTTCCTTCCCCACTCACCTCTATCTCCTATCTCTATCTATATCTTTTCTTCTCTTTACCAAGTAATGTACGGTAAATTCATGATCGAGCCCCAAGTCGAGTCGACATTTTTCCGAGCATAATTATTGTCCTTACGATGATTTGCATGAATTTACATGCCAGCTATCGTCTTTCTTCTACCCCGTCGTGTACGATTCCATACTCAGCATCACAAAAGATCGTTTAATTGTCCGTCTCTCCTGGCTACGATTACTCGAAATTATTAACGTCATCCTCTCTCTTTCCTCGTGTATAATATATATGCATATATATATATATATAATATAATATGTAGAAAAAATACGTAGTTAGATTGTAATGCGTCTATCTTACATACAGCAAACCCCTATAAAAATCGGATAAAAAATCATTCGTCCTACCAGCAAGTCCTGGTGGAAGGATTAGAAGAGAAAACAAGACTCGGTAGCTACCCTTCGTCGTGAACGCGTACGCAAGAACACAGGAGGGTGGTTATGCGTTCTGTCAATCGTCACCCACCCTCCTTTCAACGGAAGACTCTATTATTACAGTTGTAACTGTTCAACCTTAATTCTCCCCTTCGACTGGAGGATGATCGTCGGTGTAGCGGTAGTCCTTCCCTTTCCCTTTCCTTTTCCCTATTGGCATTGGTGTAATCCCGTAAAAATGTAAATATCTTTCTACTACGGATCGTATATCCGCCGTTCTTTGTAAGGTCGGGAACATGCTCGTTACAAAGCTAGCAATGGGCGCAAATATTCGCAGATGCTAGCTGGTGCTATCGTGCCAGGAAAATTCGGCTTTGCATCACCCATCCAGTATCTCTCAGCGAGAAACGGCTAACGGGATTTATTTCTATCTAGTATATGTACTTATGTATGTATGTGTGTATGTATATAGACGACTGACTGGCGTTTCGATGCCCACCCAACCCTTTGTCTCTCTTTCTCTCTCTCTTTCTCTCTTTAACTGGTCCTCGTTCTGCTACGTGTACTAGCACGTACCCCACCTATGTAGTACGCTACAACAGCGGTGGCCAACGGACTCGGGATAACTAACGGACCGGCCCGGTAGTTCATTAGAGATCGCTAAACTTTAGGGCGTAGACCAAAGGGACTGAGGATTTCGTTACGTCTCCAGACACACGCATGTATTCATCTCTGTGTGTTCCACTTGATATGCTTTCTTTCGTTGCATTTATCTCGATCGAATAATATTATACTTAGGACATTTTTTAATTAGTTCATATCTTTTCTTTTTTCTGTTTTTTGTTGTTTTCTAAATAACCGCATATTGGCAAATAAAAATGCACACTATATACGTATTTCCAAGTTAATAACTACAATTATTGCCATTAGAGAGAAAATTTTGTTAACGAGTTATTTGAAGATACCACAGCGCAGCCATATTGGTCTCGCATAAAATCCTCGATCTCTGATTAGCCGAAAGTCCAAGCCAAAGGGGGATAAGAAAAAAGAAAAGTGTAAATTAAAAAAAGTAAAAAGGAAAGGGATCAGCCTTTTTAATGACAGAGGCGTGTTTACGGTAGGCAATGTCGCCTAGTTTTTGCAACCATGACGCAATCCTGACGGAGTAGAAGGACCCAGCGGCATCCTTAATGAAAGTTTCATTGCCAAGATGGAGGTAGGAAAATAAGAAAAAGATATGGTGCAGCGAGTTGGTTGGGCATTGGGCGGTTGAAAATTTCGCAAAATGATTCGCAGATATTTACGCGATCCCCTAAAGTTACGACCGTTAACAGCCATCCAGTACTCCAAACTGAGATTATAAATCAAGTAATCAACCGCCATAAATGTCCGCCCACGCGATCGCGTCTCGACTTTTTTCCGCTAATCGTTGCGAACAACTTTTAAACGGGCACTTTCATTTTTTATTATGCCTCTATTTTCGGGTTGCGAAAGGTACCAGAACAGGGCTCCTCTTCTCTACGCTTGTCCGCGATTTTAGAAGGGCTGTTGGGGAAAGTAGGAGGAAGGGAAGGAAAGGAAAAAGGGAACGGAGACCTCGATTGTTGCCCCAACAAAAACCGCAAAGGGTGCATCGCGATAAAAGGAATCAGGGCCTGGCGGCCATTGTTGCCGATGGTTAAACTCTCGCATATATAATCGAGGACTTTGAACGCACAATGCGTCATAAATCAGCGATCATTGCGAGAGCGAGAAAGCGAATGTTTCTTCTTGCGACTCGTCGTCTTCTTGCGACTCGTGTCTTCTTCTTCTTCTTCTAAAAAATAAACTGATGCACAACTTGGATACAGGATTTCGCTAACCCTCGATCGTTCTTATCGCGCTAATGCCACTATCGTTAATGAAGATTGTTCTTGCCATTTTGGAAAACTTTTTGGAAAATTAATAGGGAACGAACTTTGTATTCGTCACAGTCTTGTTAAACTTGTAAATACGTACGTGAGAGAACAGTACGAAGAGCGATAGGTATGCTGATTTGTATTCAACATCGGTGCTTACGCTCGTCACCGTATTCGCGAGATGAGACGAAAACGAAATGAAATCCTGCTTTGCGATTTATTCCACTCGCGAATTCCACCGGGAGTTTATTAATTCAATAACGATCGACGTATACTCTTGTCGCCGTCACTGCGACTAATGCAAAACACGTATTTTGTTCCCTGCATACGACCACTAGATATACACACTTCGATGACGGACTTCAATAATCATATTAACTTGGACTGATTTTCTTCTTTCTTTTTGGAATACGGTTTAACGTCCATTGAACGTTGATTTTTTTCATTTTTTCTTTGAAATTTACCAATTCTATCAGGGATTATGAAAGTTGAACGAATTCTAAATAATGTCACTGATCATAAAAATGGGATAAGTTAAAAATGGTTCTTCAGAAATATTAGAATGACTTACGTAAATGTAAAAAAAGAACATTTGTTAATAATACCAGCTTAATAACTAGTAATTCATTAATATAAGCTTTGTGGTTTTTATGGATACGGAAAGATACGAAAATGCAAATATAACATTGTTTATTTTATAAACGTAGAACGAATGGCCGCAGATCATTAGAAAAATAAGACGTACAAAATATGATATTCCGATGAAACGCATTACGTACTTATTGCACGCGTACGTGACAATATCCTATTGTAGTCTAATCGTTAGAAAAATGTTACAAGATCAGACCATTGATAACGTATCGATATACAGTTATACGTTTCTTTTCTTTTAGATTATTTTAAAACAACGTTGCTGTATCGTTATTCTTATCTCGTTAGATGATTTCCATGGACAGAGACGTAACGATTAATCGCTAAATGCCCTAAACGTAAATATTTGACTTTTGATAATCATTATAAACTCTTTCTTATTAAGTAGAATGAGTTACGTTATATACATACATAAATTGTATATATATTATGTATCTCATTTGACGAGTCTCCCGATTCGATCTCTTCAAACGATCATAATTATTGCATTGCTGCCAATATATATATAAATATATACATATATATATAATTGACATATAACAATATAATTAACAATACTATATTGCATAGGAAGAAAAAATGTAATTGAAAAAAACGTACGTCTCGTTGCTTTACCAGAAACTAGTCACGTATTCACGAGGGCATTAAGATGATCATTCGTTAAGGAGTATTTAAGGTCTTGCCTGCCAGTGCAGCTGCTTTGGAAAGCACAATTTGAATATCCATCGATGGAAAATTCTACAAAAATTAAATAATAAAGAGCTACATTTGTTATTTCTTCAATTTTATACTATACCATCAATACTTTTTATTTTATAAAAATATATATTCAATTTTATTCATATATCTTACTTGCAAGAGCTTTACATTCGTTGCAAAATCACCAGTCAAAAGTTGGTCCCGCAATAATCTGTAATATATAATTTTATAAATAAGAATAAATATTCATAAATATTTATATGATAAAAACTTTAAATATATTTTTGTATACTTACAGAATCATGGCACAACAAATGTGTATCAAAAAACTGAATCTACTCTCGTCAGCAAACAAGGAATCCCAAATTCTCATTACATCGGGTAATGGAAATTCTTGCGAAAGAAGTAAGGTGAGCCATCTGAAAATAGTAAATTAACAAAAGCTATCATTATACAAATTTAACGGTACTCAAAATTATTTTACTTCAAACAAAATACCTAAAGCTGTAATACTGAGGACATAACTCTTGTTGATGCAATCGTACCCAAATATCAGGATCATTGTCCTTAACTTGCAAAGTCAATTTATTCATCATCGAATTGATACCAAATTCTGCTTCGTCTAAAGATTTAATGAAAAAATCACGTATTTCTCCCATTAAATTGGTGAAACAGAAAAATGTATCAGCCTCGGCATGTTCTGTAAAATAAAATTTATATATATATAAGCCATTTAATAAAATTAATCTATGTTTAATACATGTTGCAAACATACCACGCCATTTTTGATCTGGATCACAAGCAAATGTATGATAAATAGGACCAACAATCTCGTTCATACCCTGTACATATCCTTGACCAGGATTTAATTTCGCATATAGGAACAATATTCTCTCCAAGACTTCCCAATGAGCCTCACCACCTTCGGCTAATGGTGCATAGTCTTCTGCAGCTTTCCTAACTGATACTGCTATCTAAAAATAACATTCCATGTAATATATGTCATATAATTTATAAAATAATATATGAAACATTACTTCTACAATACCTGCTGCTTTTCCAAAGTAGCACAGATATATAATAACTATTAAATTTTCATTGCATAATAAAATAAAATATTACAGCTGTTCTTTTTTACATACCTTAGTTACTCCAAGACCTTTTCTTTCAACATTGGCACTTCTAAGAACGGTATGCTGTACTCTATGATGTAAGCGCTTTTGTCCGCTGTTGTTAACTATATCTTGACAAGGATAATCCGTACCTTGTTGGAAGAACGATATGTCTGGACATAATCTCCTATAAATAAATATCAATTAAAAATAAAAATATACAAAATAAAAAACAAATACTTCAAGTCTATGACTCACCTAACATCTTTATCTATTTGCAACAAGACTTCGTTATCTTTAAAATATGTTTGCCACTTGCTATCCGGATTCAAATTTAAAGGATGATCATGTAATGTTACATCGACTCTTTCCCCATCAACATTAGTCTCCCCAGGAGTAACAATAAGATCCTCTGTTATTAATATCAAATATAAATCAATGCTCCATTACAATGCTTAAACATTCTTATTATAAATTATGATTACTCACCGATGAATGTTTTATAGAGTTCCCTCTTGCACGTTAATGTTTCTGACCAACTAACTCTGTTCGGTGGTAAATAATTAAGCAACAGTTTCCAACATAATGGTCTCAAACCACCCTCATCCGGTATTCCTACAAATATAATCAAATATTAATAAAATAAACAAAGATACAAAACAAAAGATGGTAAGAAAGAAAAATTTGTAACATTGAAATTTGATAAATAAATAAATGTAACGAATAACAAACCATGAAAACATATTCGCTGTAAACTCGTTAAATCAATTTCGTCGGCATTGAGAACATCATCGAAATCATTTAACCTAAAATACGAAAATCATTCCAATACGTTAATATGGTTAAGAAAATTGTGTTTAAACAGTATCGGATATAACGTAAACAATTTATATAGAATAAGAAAAGAAAAGTAACTTACTTCTTTCGAAGAATGCTCATTTTGTATACGTGTACTATTTTTGTACATGCGGTTTTAATAAAAAAGAATCTGTCGTAAACGTGTTATCAATACTCGATAGACGTGTGGGCGTATTGTCGTAATATTTCTCACATTATTGCCAACAAATAACCAAATTAATGACAGCCACGTACTTAACTGCCATTGTTTTGTACCGGATTGAACGAGCTCCTTTATCTTCCATAGTGCTTCGACATAGTTTCCAATTCAGAATACATATGTTTTAACACTATCTGCCATCCTTTTCTTACCTTATGGACGAGCTGTGTATTAGATAAAGACAACGATACATATGTATATCATACTCTTTCAACGTGCTAATAATCAATCTGTTATGTTTATATTACATATGTATCACTTGTTGCAACTACTTATATTGGTTTATGTATCATTTGTATTTTAATATATGAATAATTATTATATTAGGAACAATTTTATATAGATATAATGTTTTTATATTTAAAAAGTATGACTTTTTATTAAATAATATTAATTATTATTTATATATATATGGATGTGTTAGCGGAGATGCAATTCTTAAATCTCTCTTCGATCTTCTCAAAATAATATAATTCTGCTATAAAGAACAAACACACACACACACAAGATATTTAAATTGTTTTATATTTTATAATTAAAAGAAAAACAATAACTATTTTTAAATCCACATAATATTAAAAATTAATAAAAAATTGCTTACAATCAAAAAGTACTTTTTGAAAAGCACACTATTATTTAAACTTCTAATATTTGAACTCAAAATTAAATTTATAAAAACAATTTTAATTTATAAAAACAATAACTTATAATTAAAAAAATTAATTAGCACAACAATAATTACACGTTTTGTTATACTTGGATCGAAGAATAATTAATATATTATAAAGTTAATTAATTTTTATTATATAGCGCGCAAATATAAAACTGTGGAGGTACTAACGTCACTCAGGTAATAAAAAGAAAACTTTGAAACGATTTCGTATTGGTTCTTCGGTCAAGTCCGCCATTAATCGAATGTTCCGCGGGAATTTCAAAGCTGAAATTCATCAAAACAATATTTTTTATAATAATTATACATAATAATTACATATTTCATCATAGTTATATCAAAAAAGAGAAATTATAATTGTACTATAATAAATAACATTACGTAGATCCTAACACCATTCTGATGATAAAAATGATATTTGAAAACTATTTTATATATATTCTATGGCCAATCAGTCTACCAATAGTCGAATATTTTGCAGAAATGTCAACCTAAAATTTATAAAAACCAAATTTCTCCAAAAATATTAATTTATACAAAAAATGAATGAACGCCACATTTTTTAATAAATAATAATTACTTGTTTTACATATTTACATTAACATAAAAAAAAAAACATTTAACAACATAATAAATATTTAATAAGAATAAAAATAGACCCTAATGTGCCACCGAAGAAATCGTATGCAACATATTTCTAGTAAATTTTTATGAAAATAACAAAACCTAATATTATTTAAACAAATATAAACATAATAATAACAGGATAAACATCATATTTATATATACAATATAATGAGCAGGATACAAAAAAATGATTAAAAAGATCGATAAAAAAAAACAAAAAGAACTTTAATCGTGAACAACTTCAATTCGGTTCTCGGAATGAAAAGAAACGCGGGTAACGTTCGACGAAAGAGGACGCGTGCTAACCAACCATTGTCCTTCGTTCTTGTTTTTGATCTTACTCTATGCGGAAAGTATAATAAAAATAACTTACGTGGTATTCTTCTTTTAAATTTCCCTAAATACGAAATTATGCATATTTTAGATGAAAAAAAAGTGTAACGAATTAAATCTAATGTACTTTCGATGCTAACATAATTATCAAAGCAAACAACAGATCGAATAAACGTTTTATTCTTTCATATTTATATATTGTGTCTTAGAAAGAGTAAGAGGGAGATATGATCTGATTGGTCAAAAGTGAATTGTACTTTTATCAATTGCTACGCGTGTCGTGTGTGACAATGTATTAGTATTGTGTATATAAGAGAGAGAGAGAAGAAAGATCGAACTTTAGCACATATGAGTGAAAAGTATATACTTAACGTTAAACGAAGGAACGAACGAACGAATGAGCGGAAAGATAAGGAACGCTACAAATTAGAGTGAGATAAACTAAGAAATAAGAAAAGGAATAGTGTACTTGAAAGAGTTAGAGAAAGAAAGAGACGGAGATACAATATCGTCGAGCGGTGGTGCTGGTAAATAGGATCGAGTGCGCGATTCCATGACTTTGAGGTTGAAATCGGTGGAAAAGCAGTGCGGATGGCATTCGTGCCATAATCATAATGGATTTTAAATAATTCCGTGGTCCGTGCGTGCGATAAAGGAAGAGAAGGAACAAGAACAAGAAGGTACAGAGGATAAAAGAAGAGAGAGAGAGAAAGTGTTGGTCTGCGAATTTTTCTTCCAGAGAATCTGCTGTTTTTTTTTCTTTTCTTTTTTTCTTTCTTTTCATATCGTGCACAGGTAAATCTTTCCCTCCCTTATGTACAAAGAGGTAACTACGAACGAATCGATGCTTTAACGAACGGCCAAAATGGAAGAGCAAAGCGTTCACAGCAGTATCAGTGATATAAATAGTGAGGAAGCCGTTAGAAGTGAGTGTAAGTTACAACGATTTGCAATCATTTCTTTTTTTTTTTTTTTCTTCACTAATTTTATATTAGTACAAAATTGTATTTGTAATTTGTATCGTTTCAATTAATGATTATAGTATAAGCATCTTCATTTTGCTAATATGCTGCAAGCACCTGTAAGAACTAACCCTACCTTAACTCACTTGCTCGTTCTTTTCTATCTCTATTTTTCTTACAATATGTGTGTACATGTTTCTCTCTCTCGCTCTCGCTCTTGCGCGCGCTCTCTCTCTTTCTCTCTTTCTTTCTTGCGCTTTATATTTGTCATCTTCTTTCTTCCACGAAAGATAGCAGCTTAGATAATTTGTCTTCAATACCTGTACATTGGTTGATGATGATGACGACTTATGTTTAGAGGATTAGCTAAAGACCGATATTTCACGATTTCGTTTCTCCCTACCTCGGCCTTGACTTATTCTCCAAAATTACGTCAGACACGAACGATTTTCTTACTGATGAATATATCCTTATATGCTTCTCTCTCTCTCCTATCGAATATATTGGTGTATGTATTTACTCCCCACATCTCCCCTCAAATCAACAATATTCTTTCTTATCTTACCTCCTATCTTTATAAATTCTTACTGATTATTATTTACACGTTTTTAATTTAACATTATGAGGATAAGAAACGAACAAGAAAAATCTGATTTATTATTATTATTATTATTATTATTATTATTATTATTATTATTATTGTTATTACTTTTTTTTTACATTAAGTTGAATTATCAGAACAATATATATTTAAATTTATTTATTTTTATATTGTATATCTTCTTATTTTTATATTAATTTGAATTGTAGAAAAATTAATCAAATTTGTCTGATAATTAGTATTTCGATTAACAATAATAATTATTATTATTATACACTTTCTTTATATTATTGTTTGTGTAATATTAATATCAACGTATACAAATTTGTCTTTGTATATTTAAAATTTTTATAAGGGTCACCATAGATCAATATCATTTTGTTACCCAATGTCCTTTGTACTTGCTTCTAATGCGCTTATTGGTAAATTTATCAATGCTATAAAATCTCTGAATGTGAATCATAGTTATTTAATATTATGACCCATTGTGAGAAGATTTTAGATAAGAGATTATAGATTTGCCATAATAGACAAATATATAATAAAAATCCTTTTACGAATTTATAGATAATGATATAATTCGTTTAAGTTATGGTTACAGACCTAACTTATGGTAGATGTAATGGTACAAAACAAATATCACAGTCTTAAATTACTTACACATTTCCTTTATTCTTCTATTTCCAATAATTAAATGCAGATTAGAATCATGCTCTTTCTTGAAAAGATCCAAATTTGTTTTCCATGATTGTGTTACATAGTTAACGCTGTATAATATATTCACTAAATTTTATGAATCATTTTTTAGAAATTGAGTCATATGTTGAAATACCAGCTCTTTCTTGAACTTTTAAATTTCAAAACTCTTACCTATACTTATATTTTAATGGATATTTTTATTTTTATTTGTTTCACAAATTGAGAGATAAAAATATATCAATATTTATTTCTTTTTTTTTCTTTATAGCTCTAGTGATACCACGTAAGAAAAGAATATGCCTGGTTGGTACTGCTGGTGATGATCCTGCTCTGGGTGCAGCTGCGCAGCAATTTAGTGTTCCAGTATTGAAATCGGAAACAGGACTGGAATATATAGAAGATACTGCATATTGCACCTATTTTATACTCAAAGAATTTGAGGGACCTGAATATGATGTTCTACATAAAAGTGCTCATAGGTATAAATATTTATCATATGTCCAAAGTTTCTTATATGAGCCATTTACAGAGCAAAATGATTAACTGCATTTTTAGAAAAAAAAATGAAAAATGTTATTATCACATACACTTGATCGATATTCCACGCTTGTCTTGATTATCCATTGAACTTTGATTTATTCACGTTATTTATCCCTCAATCACCCTAGTTAATTATAGTCCTATTATATGTTTAAAATAAGAAATTATATTAATGAAAAATATATATATATATATATATATATATATATAT